ACTCTCCAGGTCTTCATTTCCATTAAAACAGAAAACCTTCTTGGGGTCACGACTACAATAAGTCTCTATTTATAACCACCTCTCCCCCTTCACCTATCTCCCTAAATTTGCTTCTTTTCTTAGAATTTTCTCAGTTAGTTTATTAAGATATTTTAAGATAGGTGTTACTACCAGTACAGAATTAGGGAAGACAAATATGTACAAAAATGGAGGGGGGAGGAAGGAACGAATCAAAATTCAGAATATGATCCAGCAATATTTACATTTTATAGATAATAATTTCTTAATGAAATAAATTCAGAATATAAGCTCCTCTCTCTCTCCCTTTTAGGCCTGCGATAGTCATGCTGGGTGTGCACATCAAATCCCATAGGTGAGGAGAACATTCTGGAATCGGCTCCCTCCTGATTGCAGAGATAAGAACCAGTTTTCCTACACATACATTTTCCGGCTCTTTGTGAGCAAAGAAGTGAAATGACTATCTCAAGGGTCATTTCTTCCGCCCCAGTGCTACTAAACGATCCTTCCATCCTAATGCTCCTAAAACAATCAAGCAGAGGTTTCAGAAATGAATTGGATATATTCATGCAAAGGTCATGAGATGACATCAATGCTCATTCTCTAAAGTGACCCCCAACTGCCAGCCCTCAGTCTGTATGAGCAAATGTCTCTGCCAATTCATTTAAGAAAAACTTAACTTACCCTAGGAGGTTGTATAGTCTTCTGATTGGAAGCTGATATAATTGAAAGAATAAAAGGAATTTAATAAATGACATCAATCACGGCAATAAATAGGTTTTACTTTGAAATAAACTGTGCAGCACTAAAACTACTAGAGCCAGTAATTTTACTGAAAGATTGCCTTCGACCTATTAAAAAATATAAACCATTCTTGGTTATATGCATTGATACAAAAAATGATGCAAATAATCCACCCATATGAAGTAAACATACACAAACATTCTCTCATTCATACATGTCTTCTTTCCAGCCAAATAAGCTACATGCTAGGCTTCTTGATGGCAAAATACTGCCCGTAATCCAGCCCCAATATGTGCTCTCTCTCTCTCCCTCCCCAGCCCAGTCAGAATGAGACAGAAGGGAGCAATGAGAGCCCACTGTCTTTGCACCATCACCTCCGACTCCCTCCTCTTGGTCCTTGTAGCCCAGTCTGCTCTCCCTGCACTCTGTCTAGTCTTGAAGGCTCCAACTACCTCACAGACTACAGAAACTATTTAGACCTCCCTAACTCATTAGAAAGTTGCTCTTGGTAGTCGGCCACAGTCACCATCAAGTCCTTCTTGATCCGTTCCTCTTCAGTGCTCTCAACTGCTTTGGAGCGAATCAGTTAATGGGACACGAAGTGGGTGAAAGATTAAAAGAATTCCTCGAATTAGGTAGAGACGAGGAGATCATTTCTTTAGCAAAGCTGAGGTCGCCCAGCAGCTAAAGTCAGTGGTAAATACAGACTCAGTCTTGGTTCTAAGCTACAAAAGCATCAGCGAATCCTTACCCGGGGGGGATGAACTGGTGGCCAGAGCAGTTGCTATCACTGGACCCTGGACTGCACGACTGCACTGGACAGACCAAGGTAGGCCCCAGGTGACTGTTTTAGATCCAGCTGCTACTACCGCTTCCCAGCCCCAACCCTACCCCGCTGCCAAAACGGATAGAAATGGTTGGGCACTGATTAAAAGGCAATTAAACTAGGAGCTGGCCAGAAACCTACAAAAATCAACAAACCCAACCCAATCCACTGTCATCAAGTCAGTTCTGAGTCATAGCGCCCCCTATAGGACAGTGTAGAACCGTTCCTTTGGATTTACAGAACTGTAATCTTCACAGGGGCAGTTAGTTAGCCTCATCTTTCTCCCTTGGAGCAGTCGGTGGCCTTGAAATGGCAACTTTGCACCACCAGGAGCTTTCCCGGGGGCTTCTTAGCAGCCTACACGGTTCTGTCAGAGACCCTGGCACCTGACTGGCTTCATAAGATTCTGAAAGGAATTGGAATGTTGGTGATGGGAAGGGAAAGTGCTAAAGAGAGAAAGCTGGCCAGGAGTTCAAAGTTTAGATTTATGGGTCAGCAATGAGTCAGAAGACATGAATAGGAACCTCATGGAAATAACACAATAACTGACTAAGAGGCCAAGACACCAAACAACGGACAAACAGACCTCCCTTGAGTCACGCTGCTGAGGGTCAACATACGGACAACGATCTGGATGTAACGGATAGTTCTAGTTCTTAAGGTATACACTCTTCCGCTGTGTGTGGGGGGCGTCTAGTTGTGTAACTGGTCGGGAAGATTCTGTCTGCTACTGCCAATGTGTAACTTTAAAATAAACTTTCCTTGCTGGAGGCAACTTGAGGGAGGCAAGCAGGGAAAACCGAACCAGACTCACTGCCAGCAGGGAGACTCTGACTCTTAGTGGCCGGCCCTGCAGGACAGCGCAGAAGTGCCCCTGTAGGTTTCCAAGACTATAATTCTTTATGGGCGTCGAAAGCTTTCTCTTTCTCCCGTGGAGTGGCTGAGGCTAGCAGCCCAACAGATAACCACTACATCACCAGGGCGCCTTTGGATCCAAAGAAGGCCACTTTATTCCACAACGGGTTTTAGTATTTGCTTTTAAAGTAACGATTTTAAAAATCGTTGGTGCCCCAATGCATAATCACTGTGCTACCTGAAATTGTTCCGATTCTAGAAACCCTTTAAAGTAGTATTCTCACTGCCACTGAGTCCATTCCAAATCATAACAGCCCTGTAGCACAGGGGAGAACTGTGCCTGTGGGTTCCTAAGGCTGGAATTCTTTCCAGGAGTAGAAAGCCTCATCTTTCTTCCACAGAGGAACTTTATACTTTGAACTGCTGACTTGACAGTTAGCAGCCCAATTTATAACCACTACGCCACTGGAGTCCTTTATAAAGTATTAGGGAAACTAAATTTCTAATTGTAATGTACAAGGTCAGAGAATTTTAGAGTTATAGTCCTAAGCTTATTTAAATTTATTATCAGAATTGAAATTAAGAATTGCCAGTAGAGCTCCTTCTTTATCTCAAATGTATAGAGTTGTTGGTAAGAATATCACGTCTGGCCACCCCATTTTAAACAAGAGACTGTTGCAGTCCAGTGATTCAAGGGGACACTAGTTAGGAAGATGGAGTGACAACTGCCCGTCTTCAGAGCTCAGCTGTGGTCCCACTAACACGACAAACTAAGCAGGGCAGAAACTAATTTATCCTATCCAATAGGGGCAAACTGACCGATGAATAATAATACGCACACAGGAAGCTAATACATGAGGGGTGTGTGTGTTGCTAAAACCACGTCATGAGTGTATTATTTGAGTAAAAATATGGTGACTGCATGTGAAAAGGCAACATTTGTGAGTGATCAGCCTAAGGCACTGACAGCTAGAGTTCTTCAGATCGCAAGCAGTAAGTGTCGCACATGAGCCTCATTTGTCACAGTCCTCGATTTGCTCTTCTCTCCCCGAAACATCTCATCACAAACTTAGGGCTAGAATGTGAATGTACGGAAAAACTCCAGTGGTGCCAGATTCACTTTCCCTAACACTCGACAAGAACAGAGCATTGGATTATATATATGCATATACCAGCACCCAGACAAAACCAAACCCCAAAGCCCACTGCTGTGGAGTCAATTTTGACTGAGAGCAACCCTCTAGGGCAGAGCAGAACTGTTCCCTAGGGTTTCTGAGTCTGTAACTCTTTGAGAGCATGAAGCTGCTGCTTCTTCCACAAGCAGCTGCCGAGTTCAAAGTGCTGACCTTGCATTCAGTAGTCAAGCATGTAACCAATCAGAGCTCCTTACATATATCACAGCATTCTAAAATATCTGTAATGTGGTAAGAGTGATTTCTGACTGTTACCAAGTAGATTTGCATTGAAACACAATTATATGCCTTTGTACTGAATTAACTGGTAGTGGTTTTGGAAAATGGAAGTGTTAACCCTTATAAATAACAGATATGAATACCACATACATAGAGCAGAATCAACTCCACGGTAGTGGGATAATATATAGAGTGAGCCCAATTTAAGTGAGCTTAGTTAACTCCTGTTAATCATTTATACATTTTCACATGCATTGTTCCCAGGCCTTCATCTTATTGTATACGATTAAAATTCTTCCAATTAAAGAAAAAAATCCAACTGCTTAAAAGTAAATAAGAGCCATAGAAAACGAGCATTATAATTCTACTCTTTAAAGTAACAATGAACGTTAAAATTTAAATTTGGATGCGAAAAATTGTAAGTTAAAATTCTCACGGGAGATTATGTCATCCTAAAAAAGGCGTTTTTTTGTTATTGCTTTATTTTTTTAACTGAGAATTTTATTGCACCAAGGCACTTTTAAAAGTGAGCACCCAGCGAGTGAAATTATTTCAGAAATGTACACTTTTTACTTCCTGATACAAATGCTCAAATTGGCGACCTTAATGTTAAATGGGGCTTACTCTATATGTACTGAGATCGACACACTAAAATATATAAGCAAACAAATCAATTTTCCTAGTCTACCAAATTATCCACAGAGCAGCTTCCCAGTACCTTTTCTCCTTTGCCCTTCAATTGACCGAAGGTGCGCCTCTCAACTCTGGCATCAGATAAGTTGATTTGAAAAGTTAATTTAGTGTATTCTCAAAATGTCAATAAAATTGGTCTAAATTCTTACTTTATATATGGAACATTATATTTAAGAACAAAAATAATTAGGGAATCCTTTCAGGATTTCACTTTCATTGTTTCCAATCTCATTGAGTATACAGGCTGCTCAGAGGAGTAATGACATAGAAGGGAGGAGAGCCACGTCAAGGGAGCGGAAACTAGATGATGCCCATGCCCACTTGAGGCAGCCGCGCCCGCCCCCCAGGCCTGGTGGCAACTCCACTACTCATCATTTTATCTAGCTGGGCCTGGAAGGCATGTGGTAGCCTGGGAAGAAAATGAAAGCTGATAGAGATGAGGGAAAACAAGAGGAGCTGACTATCAGTCAAAGACGCCTTAGACTACACTCCATGACATTTGCACAAACGCTGCAGGTTGGGGACTGTTCTGGGCACTGGTGGGGAACAACAACACCTACAGAGTCATCTTCAAAAGCGAGACACCTGGTGTTTGGATCCCTCAGCAAAAAAGAGGCTGCATCAATTTTCCTGATGCCCACGGCCGCTGCAAAATGCCACTCTGCTTTAGAAGCCTTCCTTGTGCTTTATGGCTTCACATGGCACAAAACAAAAGGTCACAGAGAACAACTCTCACCAAGGAACACATACACTCATGGTGGGCAGACTGGAGTTGAGGATTTTAACTGTCTCAGAAGTTTTACCGAAAAAAAGAGGCTGAAGAGTGGACAAATTCAGCTACCATTCATTAAGAACTGAAGTCCAGAAATAAAGGTAAACTTTCTTCGAAAGTACTATGTAATTATATGGGAAATTATCTGACTATAGTAATTCGAGTTTTACATTCTTAGAAATGGACATAATAAGTTTATCTAAAGGAAAGCAAAAAGAGTAATTTTTTTACTCCATTAATTTAAATTTTTAAAATTCTTTTGAGAGGAACTTAAGAGTTGGTTTGTGTTATAAAAAGGGGTGTGGGGAATTAGTGCACTTGAGATTATAGGGAACATCCTTAGGCAACACGACAACATAAAATTTCTACCATTATCTATGTATGAAAAATAAGAATATCTGTAGAACCCTGCCAATTTGAAAATTGGCAGATTACATACAAAGTTTAGTTCTAATGAAGTTAATTTCATACTTATAACGAACTGACTTTAAAAGTAGTAAAAACCTAAAATTTAAATCCCAGTGCTATTATTACACTGGTTTTAATGAAAAAGGTCTTACAGTTGTGTTTCAAAGGCCATTGCTATTTAAGTTAAACAAATCTGATAGATGTATGCTTTTTTATGCAAGTTTTAGTCAGGGGGAAAGATCATCTTCGCATTGTGATAAAGTTTGTGGGTTTTTAAGCAAGTGCCCCCATCTGGCTCTGCTTCTCCAAGTAAATGCAGCCTCGGGAGCCAAGGCTGCCAACGACCCGCCAGGAAGAGAGCATCCGACAGGCACAGGAGCCTCTGTAAAAGAGCTGTCATTTCAACACCGCCCAGTGAAGATGCTTTCCTATCACTCAAATGGACCCTAATTCCACTCCCAAGAGTCAGCATAAGAAATACGTCCATTTCAAAATACAGTGCCATTGTCTGTGAAAACCAACTGGTCATCTAAGCTTTCGATGACTTGAAATCATTCTCAGTTTTGATTATTTAAAAATACAGTTGCATGCATTTTATGTTCTTCATATTTAGAACCATCAATACATTTCTTTGGTCCTAAACTATAAGGAGTAGCCAGAAGCATTTTTTTCAGTTACACATTTGAAATAAGCATAGGTTAACAAAAATAAGATCGACTTACCCACAAATTTCATATAAACTAGTCCAAGTAATTCTGCTAGAGCTATGATACCCAAACCTGAAATCAGCAGAGGACCCTGTACTGGAGTACATTCTGTAAAACAAATGAAAGTTCACATTAGATTTCACACGAGAACATCAAGTCTACAAGGAAATTCTTTTATTAATGAACACCCCCCAAATCCTACGCATTTTCATGATCATTCACTCAGTGAAATGACTCCAAATTATTCTAAAAACAGTAACAAAAAAGGCTTTGTTTGAATATAACACATACTTTCACAACAAGACTAAGAGGATTTAAGGCATAAACCTAAGTTTCCTGCTTCTGGCTTCAGGTGCCTGGTGATTGTAGAAGCTCTACCACAAATCTAAGTGTAGCAGTTTATCTGCAAAACAATCACCTCAAACCCAATAGATGCACTGCCACGGAGTCTATCAATAACTCACAGGACAGCATAGAACTATCCCTGCAGGTTTCCAAAACTGTGCCTTTTTATGTGAATAGAAAGCCTCATCTTTCTCACGCGGAGCAGCTAGTGGTTTTGAATGTGTAATTCACTGTACCACTAGCACAGCGCTTTCTTGCCCATAAAGCCCAGATACACCGGAACTTCACCCTATTACAGATGATAGAATCCTACACATAGAAAATCTCAAAGACTCAGCAAGGAAATTACTGGGACTAATAAAAAGATTTAGTAAAGTGGCAGGCTACAAGATCTACATGCAACAATCAGTTGTCTTCCTTCACCCTAAAAGAGTTCTGAAAAGAAAATCAGGAAAACAAAACCATTTACAATAGCCATCCAAAAGATGAAATACTTAGGAATAAATCTAACTAGAGAAACAAAGCACTTACATAAAGAAAACTACAAAGCACAAGTACAACAAACCAAAGAGAACTATATAAATGTAAGAATAAAACGTGTTCATGGATAGGAAGACTTGACACCATAAAAATATCAATATTACCCAATGATTTATTGATCTAGATTCCAACAGCAATCTTTAAAGAGATGGAAAAAAAAACAAAAAAAACATCACACCAAAAAACAGTCACCAAACTTATGTGGAAAGAGATTCCTAATAAGCAAAGCACTATTAAAGAGAAATAACAAAACAGGCTTCTTGAGTGTCCCTTCCAGCCATAATCCCTTATTTGAGATATAATAATTCTGGATTTCATATGCCTACAGCTGTGGCCCCATTATCTGCTAACAAACATGAATGGCATAAAACTGAGTTTTGATCTTAGTAGAGGGTATGATCACACCATGCTCTTTGTTTAATGGTTATCTCAGTTACTATTACTTACAATGGATGTAAGGAATTACATGCTACAGATGAGAGGAGACAGAAAAAATATTTTCTGGAGTGGATTGGGAAGAAGCTTGGCTGATTAAGATTAATAGCAGGCCAATGCCTACTGGAAACATCTTGCCAAAAGTCTCAGGACATATGTGCATACATAAGATACAGAGGTAGAGAACAGATTATTATATTTGGGTGATATGTGACTGCTCCAGGTAACTCACCAAACAACCTTTCCTTTGTGGGTGTGGGAAGGTGGGGGGAAGTACTGATTCCTGCTTATGAGTAACTATGAACAGGATTCCCGGCAATGCCATTCTACTGCACATAAAATGAGCCCACTGAAAAGAAGGGGGTCTGATCGCTTCACTGGCAAGAACCAGGAGTGGAGTATGTCCTCTGGCCCCAGCATCTGGCTAACCCCTACCTGATTTTCGGAGTTTGGAATGAACTGAACCACTGAGTGAGATCTTTCCTTGAAGTTCTGTGGGACACTACAGCGATTCACAGACCCTAGGGACATGAGGGAATATACTCAAGTGAAGAGTCGGGGGGGAAATGGAGCAGACATCATCTTAAAAGAGATTTGGAGGACGTTTTCAATCTCCAACTTCTTGGGATAAGCTTGGTATTAACTCATAAAAGAGCTATTACCTCACCTCTCACTTCCAATCTCAAAACGTCCTACCTAGCTAAGCAGTCAAAACAGCCCGGTGCTGGTACAATGACAGACACACAGACCAAGGGGACAGAGCCGAGGATTCAGAAATAAATTCATCCACCTACCGACATCTGATCTTTGCCAAAGGATCGGAATGCATCAAATAGAGAAGAGATATCTCTTCAGTAAATGGTGCCAGCAAAAGGAGACACCCATTTACAGAAGAATGACACAGGACCCTTATCTCATACCATATACAAAAGTGAATTCAAGACGGATTATAGATCTAAATGTAAAACTTAAAACTATACAGATCATCAATTAAAAATGGGGATAGTACATGGCATAATGGATTAAGGCCCTAATATATGGCATAAATACACCATCAAATCCAATGAAATATATACAAGCAGCAGAAGGAAAAAATACATGACTGGGACCTCAAAAAAAGTAGGCACTTTTATGCATCAAAAAATTTCACCATGAAGTATAAAAAGACCCACAGACAAGGGGAAAAATGGCAGAGGCAAACTGGACAAGATTTATCTCTAAAGTTCACAGAACCCTCAACACCTCAACAATTAAAGAAGGCAAATAGTCCCATTAAAAATGGGCAGAAGACATGCACAGACATTTCACCAAAGACAACATTCAAGTGGCCAACAAGTACATGGCAAAATGCTTGTGATCAACAGCTGTTCAAAAAGATGCAAAACAAAGCAACAAGGAGGCACTGACTCACTTAGCATTAACACACAAACAAATCTCCCTGCCCTCGAGCAGAAGCCGACTCATAGCAACCCCATAAGGCAGAGTAGAACTGCCCCTCTGGGCTTTGGAGAGGTAACTCTTTACGGGAGTAGAAAACTTCCATTTCTCTCCTGGGGAGCAGCTGGTGGTTTCAAACAGCTGATCTTGAGGTTAGCAGCTCAATGTGTAACCACTACACCACCTGGGCTCCTTCCAACATGAACAGCAAAGTTAAAACAACGTAGCTAACAACAACACATGGGTGTATGCGTGCAGAGAGATGGAACTGTGACCCAGCATAACTACTGTTTGAAAGCCGCATGGCACTTCCTCAAAAAGTGAGCGATGAAAGTACCATAAAACTCAGCAATCCCTCTGCTTGCTGTGTAGCCTGGAGGCTTCAGAGCCATGACACAAATACATGTATGCACGCCCAAGTTCATCAAAGAACTATTATGCAAACAACCTGAACACCCAACAATGGAAGAATGGAAAATAAAGTCCAGTACATACATACGGGCAATGGGATATTTTGCAATGTTAAGGAATAATGATGCATGTGAAATACCTCATAACATGGATGAACCTGCAAGACATTATGCTGAATGAAAGTCGTCAAACACAAAAGGGCAAATGTTGTATGATACCAGGACTGTAAAAAGTCAATAAGTTTTCACACAAAAAGAATCATTCTGTGTTGAATGCTAGGGCTCTAAGGGGAAGGGAGGGAGGGGAACTCATTGCTAAGAGGGTAGGTAAGTATTAACTTGAGTGAAGGGGAAGGCAGTAAGGAGGAGGTTGCTTTAAAACTGGCTGAGGCAGGGGAAGACTCTGGGAGGTTTGAAAAAGGGAAAGGCATCAGAGGCAACCGGTTAACTGCACAATCCCAGAACGGTGGTAATCTAGGAGTAGATGCTTGGATACACACACAGGCTGAACAGGTGTGGAAGTATGCCCATGAATGCACGTATGTTTGACAGAGAATAACTCTGTATGTGTGTTTACCTTTATGCAAATATATTCTGAATGTGGTGGCGCATAACACACCGAAAACCAGACGCTGACTCTCAGCAACCCTAGGGGACAGGGCAGACCTGCTCCACGAGTGTTCTTGACGATAACATTTTATGAGCGTTCTCCTGGTGGAACACATAGGTAGGTGGTAAAGTTAACATTCCTTAGCCATTCTTAGTCACTTGGCCTAGGTATTAAGGTCCATTGTCTTGGAGGGGATCAAGGTCAATGAGGATAAAAGAGTTCACAAAGAAAACACACTAAACCCTACTTCCTAAGTAGAGACTGGGATCTTAAATGTGTCCCACGTGGCCATCTATAGTGCGACTTTTGATCTCTCTCCAACGAGAGGGAAAGGGTGATAAAGAAACATGGCAACAGTCTGTGGCCCATGACAATCTCAGTCCCTGTGAGGCTGTGACCAGAAAAACTGTTGGCGTCCGGCTACCACTACCAACTGTTCCACAAAGGATCACATCATTATCAGGTCCAGAATAGAGCGGGAGAAAATACGTACTGAAACTAAAAATCATGGGAGCAAAACGAACAAGCTAGCCTTAGTAGAATCCCTAAGACTGTGGTCACTCTGCCAGTCTGGAAATGAACGCGTCCGACTTCAGAATAATCAGCCATTGAGATCAAAAGGGCAACGTTTATCCAAGGGCAAAATCTAAAAAAGGTTAGGAAAGGAACGGAAGCAGGAAGGAGAAGGAAAAGTACACAGAGGAGACTGCAGGGGATGAGTTCAAACAAAATGTGCATGAACTGCTGAGTGAAAAACGGATGACTTCCTCGGTAAATCATCCACTGGTTCACAATAAAAAGACAAATTTTTTTTTTAAATCAGCCCACCAGCTATGTGCAGGTACTATTCTGGAAGCAATGCAGAAAACACTATTCTCAGTGTGGGAAAAAGAACAAGCCGCATATACATGTCTGTGTCAAAAGAAATGCCCAGTAAAAGAGACTGAGGTGACAGACATAGGTGGTCCTTACCCGAGATACAGAGGCTTAGTCCGACCACAGCCAGTACAAAGCCCAACACCTGAAGAATCAATATGGCGATGGCAAAGAAGGTCATCCCAAAAGCTGCGGGAAGAAAAAGGATATAAACAGAATCGTGGTAAGAATGTTTACATTGCAATCACTCCTACTTGTACTTTGTGTCACGGAGAATAATACTCTGTGACCCTGGAGTTGCTGTCAGATAACAATGGATGCTTTTGCTGTGATCCAAAGTCCCCACCAGCTGGGCGCTCAGTCCTCAGCACCTTTCTGCTTTCAGTCGTGGAGTTGGATGCCAGTTGGATGCTTTTCTCCCAAACTCCCAACTGATGTTGTTTTCACCACAGCGCCATGTTTGACGACATTGGTGATCCCTACACCTGGCTCTCCGCCCTTATCCAGCACGGTTCTGGTGGAGAGAACCGTAATGCCAACATGCCAGTGGCGCAGCCTACCCGCTAGCTCATACGTCTAGAAGATGTCTGGTTTTAAAACAAACCAACACCTTTCTCATCAACAGCAAGCAAGAGAGAGTCCTGGAGAATGAAATTTAAACATGCAACTAAAAGAAACCCTCTTTAGTAATCACTGTATATACTCGAGTATAAGCAGACCCGAATAACAGCCAAAGCACCTAATTTTACCACAAAACTGCATAAAAAAATGTGCTGAAAAACACGGCCTAAACTTGCGTATATATGGTAGATAAAAAATGTTAGTGATGTACACCAAAAATGCAGTGAAACTGATACATGGTTTGGATAGTCATACCAATTTTCATTAAAACATCATGCAAATAACTAAAGACAACTTGAAAGTTCAGGGAAACACAGAATTGAAAGACAATGGAAAATTTCCCACAAACTTTGTGATTTATAGCCGTTTTGTAGAACTAGGCTTTTTATGGAGTGGGGGAGCAATGGTGTACTTAACATCTACCTAAAAGTTCAAGAAATTAAAAGAAGGAATATAAAAAAAGTCACAATGAAATTATGTAGTGTAATTTAATATTTACTGGCTGGTATCAAATATCTATCAAGATTACTTTTTACAAAACAATTCAGTGTCATGAAAATCTTTGATGACCTTGAACTAATTCATATTGGGAAAAACAAATCGAAGAACAGCTTAGAAAGTCTTTTAGTGGATGAAGGGAGACGTCGGACAGGGCAAGATATGACAAAATACCCATTTATAAACTATTAAGGGCTCATGCGGGAGGGGGGAGCGGGGAGGGAGGGGAAAAATGAGGACCTAATGTCGGGGGTTTAAATGGAGAGAAAATGTTTTGAGA